AAGATCCTAGAGGAGAGGCCGCGTGATGTCAAAGCCAACCTGCCACCATGTTGGGCAGCTGCGCTCCGAGAGGGGTCGGGAAGGAGTTTTGGGGGAAAAGTGTCAGCGATGGATCGATCGGCCGATGGCTCCAAAGGTCAACCCTTGCTGGATCCGAGGACCAAACCCTTCCTTCTTTCTCCCCTTGCAGCGACATCACAGAGGAGGACTTGGAAGAGGCAGGGGTGATGGATCCCAACCACAAGGGCTTGCTTCTGGACCACTTGAGGCTCAGGAAGTAGGGGGCAGGAGGGGGTCTGGGGGCCTCTCTCCATCCCCCCCTGACCCCTGCTCCCCCCCAACCAGGAGGTGCCTCTTCCCTTTTCGGCTTAGGATCCGACCACCCACCACCACCCTGCAGGCACGCGGCCACTCTTGCTGCGCCAGGAGGGCGCCTCCCCCTGGAGGGGGGGCCCAGGGGCATAGCTGCACAGGCATCGAGGACGGCGTCAGGTCTTGGCACCCTGGAGGAAACTTTTGGGACATCATGAGATGGCAGGAAACTGGGGGCGGGTTTGGGGGATCTGGGTCTTGCACTCCCCCCCTTCTTGATTGTGGAGCAAACGGGACCCAGCTGGCTGAGAGGGAAAACAGGGACCGAAATGCAGGTGGTCCAGGTGAGGGTCACTCCCCAGCTGAGCATTTCAAAGGAGCATCCTTTAAAGCAATCAAACCTTTCTCTTCCCTTCTTCTTCCCCATGCGCCCCCCCCTTCCCGGTGCTGCTTAACTTATTCTTATTTATTACACCAAAAGAAGGACTTCCGCGTTTTTCCCTCTTCATTTTTCCTCTTCCTAGCAAAGCCACTTTTCCTCTCCTGCTCCTCCTGTGGCCTTTGAACCCAACGTCGTCGTATGCATGCACATACCCACACCCCATTTCCTCCGCTTGGGAAAGCCCTTCCTATTTCACTCCAATTCCTAGAATTCCCCCACCTCCTCCAGGGAGCAAAACATTTCGAGGGGTTCTGGAGAGCCGAGCAGAGGAGTCGCGGAAAACCCTTCGAGGTTCCTGTACGCTCTCCAGCTGGACATTTGCCCCTGGCGAGCGGGACAGATCTGCTCTGAAGAAGGGCAACTGGCTCAGGAAAAGAGAGCTTGCTGCAGTCCTTGGTCCCCGGAGCAGCCCCAGGTGCGAATCTGCCGGGCTGCCACCTTGAGCTTTGGGCATCGGGGGGGGGCGGGGGTAGAACGGGCCGCCAGTCTTACTGTGCCTCCTGCCCAGGGGCTGGTCGTCAAATCACCGCCCTGGAAGAAGAGGGAGCCAAGGCATAAGAGGACTGGCTGCCCGGAGCCCCCGTTTGCCTCCAGAAGGAGCGAGCCTTGAACATCTCAAGCCCCACCATCCCCACCATCATCCCCTCCTCCCAAATCTTTTCCCTTCCAGCCGCCCTAGTCCAACCCTACCCGTGGGCTTCTCCCTTCCTGGAAGCTTTCCGTGGAGTTTGCTTTTCCAAACGGTTTTCCAGCTGGGTTTGTTTGTTTCTCCCCCCCCCCCAAAAAAAAAGATTTTGGCCTTAAACTTGGCCCTGGCTGCAGAGGCAAAGGGCTGCCAAGCTGACCTCAGGGGACCCCGGGGCCGTGCCGGTTTGGCGGGGTGTGTGTGTGTTTCCTGGCATTGCAGCCCCCAAAAGCAGTTTATCCAGGCAAAAGGAGATGCCAGAAGGAGACCCCAGGGGGGTTTCAGGGCCCAAGGAAGACCTCAAAGTGGAAATGCTCGTTCCTGCAAGGGCCCCCCCGATGTCTCCTGCCCCATAGCAGCAATGTGGTTCTTTTTTTTTTTGGTGGGGGTGGAGAGAGAATTTTCCAAACACTCCAGCCAACCGCCTCCCCGTATGTCGGACTAAGTCCCATCATCCTCAACCAGAGTAGCCCTGGGGATCATCGGGGGCGGTTGGAGTCGTAGCTGTCCCCAAGGGAAGTGGCCCCATGGTAGGATGCAAGAAGGACCCCTTTCTGTGGTCCCCCCCCTCCGAGACAGCTTCCTGCCCCCCAGGACACCGGAAGAGGAGCTGGTTATTGAGAACGGAGGACCGGCTGCAGAGTAGGAACCAGACCCATGCTGGGTGCAGCATCCTGGGGTGTTCAGGTGGGGAGGCAGGCCTCCATGAATGGGGAGCGAGCAGTGGCACGGGGGGGGTGTCACGTGGTATGTGTGGGGGGCCTTCTGGAGAACCTGCTTCCCTTCTGTCTCGCTGTTCCTCGTCCTGGCCCCCGAGGCGGTGGCAGCAGAATGTGGACCCTCTCGTCCTGGAGAAGCCTGCGCTCTTCTTACTAAGCCTTTAGGTCTGTTTACACCCCCCCAAAAAAAATTCCCCTTGAGGAAGGTGGCCAAGATGACCCCCTCCCTCTCCTCTTCCTCTGGTCTTATGCAAACCAAGGTGCCTGTGGAGAAAACGGACACGATCCAAGGCCAGAACGGAGAGCTTGCAAGCACCAACGGCTGGAAGTTAGGAAGCGTTCTCCGGGTTCCGGTCACTTCGGGCCTCCGTTTTCCTCCCTTTTTGCTTTCCGGGAACGAGCCGGTTTCCCAGTGCCTTACTTCATATCGTGGAAGGACGGGAGAAGGAGCGACCCAGGGAAGGGTCGGATTTCCAAGCTGCGGGAGGTTTCAAGGAACAACGGTGGTGGTGAACCTCTCCAGATTCTCCCACGGTCCACGAGGAGCTGCTTTTCCGAAGCTGAAATGAAGGATCTCTGTCTGTCCTTAACTTTCGTTTTTCCTCCCTCTTCCAATTTTGCCCTTGGAATGGCCTTTTCTTCCTCGCCTCCCTTTCTCTTTTGCTTATGATTAGCATTTTCCATGAGTTAACCCGACTAAATTCTACCGTGCTGTGTTTTTCTATGTACGTGTGCGTGTATTTTTGTTCATGTTTAATTTAATGGTCGTTTGAAACTCTTTTTATGCTTAATATTTCATGGGCTCGAGCAGAAATTGCAGTTGTCCCATCCCAGAAAGGGTTCACATTTCATGTTTTAGTTTGCCACATGGTGGTGCAAATTAAAGGGCTTGTTTGCTTAAAGAAGGTCACGTCTGTCTTTTAATTTCTTCCTTTCTTTTGTAAGGCTGCGGATCTTGTTCTTCTTATGGACTGTGGCTCCTGAAGTCTCCCAGCCAACCTGGTTTTGCTGGAGGATGGCTTCTGGAAGTGGTACAGTGGTGCCTCACATAATGAGCGCACCATTTAACGATGAATCCGCATAACGATGCGGATTTTGCGATTGCTAATGCGATTGCATACCAATGCTTCCAATGGCCAAAAATCGCTTTGCGACGATCGGTAAGCGTTTCGCTTACCGATTTTCGCATAGCGATTTTTTAAAACAGCTGATCGGCGGTTCCAAAATGGCCACTGGGCAAAGAAAATGGCCGCCTGCTCCGTTTTTGCGCCCTGCCCTCGCTTACCGAGGGTGCGAAAATGGCGGCTGCATGAGGGATCTTCACATAACGGTGAGTTTATCCCCCATAAGAATGCATAAAACGTGTTTTAATGCGTTCTTATGGGGTTTTCTGCCCCGCATAGCGATGAATCCACATGGCGACATTTTTCCTGGAACAGATTAACGTCGCTATGAGGGGCACCACTGTAGTCCAAAAAAGAGGAACTTCTCCAAGTGCCAAGCTCTTCCTACAGGTTACTGCAATCTGTGGACAGCCAAAAAAAAGGAACTTCTCCAAGTGCCAAGCTGTTCCTACAGGTTACTGCAATCTGTGGACAGTCCAACAGAAATCAGTTCATCTGGTCAAAAACAAGAAGGACCAGGTGCCCCCCACACACACCACTTTCAATGCCACCATGGGCCAGAAGCCAATACATAGGATCAGTGCCTGCTGATTCACTTATCCAAAGTCTGAAAATATTAAAAATATTTGAAAAAAAGTCCCCAAACGTGTGTACCGATGAATTTACCAGAACTGGCCAGAGGAGGGAGCCAGAAACCATGCTGTGTATAGCATAGTGTTCTCTTTAATCAACATTTTCCAGCATCTGGCAGTATGGGGAAGGGGCTTGGAAGTGAAACCCTGCAAATATGGGAATCCTAATGCATTTCAAGAGCACAAACAGGTCTTTTCTCCTCCGACCCCCCCCTTCTCTCCCGCTTAATGACTTTTGAAGGGAAACGTACCAAGAATTGTTCAATAAATTAAGTTTATTTGGATTAGCATATTTTGCAAATGAGGTCAATAAATTACAGAACAGTTCTTTAAAAACCAACCAACCAACCAAGCTGAAGACCACCAGTCACGATGACAGCATCCACGCAGAGTGTTCCTTTGACGACTCAAGTTACCCTCACGTAAAGGAAGGAGACGGTCGGTGCCGGGCATATTTGTTGGGTGCCAGAGCCCCGCTGAGGCCTAACTTTCCTTACATCCCACTGCGGTTCTTCTGACCCCATTGATCCCTCCGCTCAGGAGTCACAATGACTATAGGAAATTTGGTTCTATCGTTCCAGCTATTTGGAAGCTGGAACGGTCATTTTTTGTTCTGATGTTGGGAGCGCATGATGATCACATCAGTGCTGACAGAGATACCACACCTGCACACACGCAGACTCGGTACACCCTGCTGTACTTCCTGAAGTAAGGAAGAAAAGCAGACCTTGGAAGCATTAAAAAAAATGTCCAGGATTGGGAGCCTGCGTGGCGGTTGGCAGACCAGAAAGCTCCCGTTCCCAAAGCAGGGAGGGAGGGAGAAGAAAGAAAACCCACACCTAGTTAGACCTGTGATCATAACTGGGAGGCAGTGGGTTCCAAAGATTTTGACACCCCGTCCACACGGCTGCGAAGCCTGTGGCAGTCGTGGGCTGAGTGGGTGGCATTTCTGGCTTATGGGCATCGGACAGCCTTGAAGAGGACCCAGGAAGGGGGCGGGGGGGGCAGGTTTGCCTCTCTGAGGTTACAAACCGACAGAAGGACCGAGTAAGAGGCTGCTTAGTACAGAGGGAGCCTGGAGACAAGAACAGTGCAAGACAGATGTCACAGAGGCAACAGACTAAGTTGCTATGTACCATCATTTTGGATTTATGGGAAACCTATGAATAAGCCATCTCCAAAATGGCCTGTCCTCAGCAGCCCTGTCTATCTCTTGTAGAGTTAGCTTGTGGCTTCCTTTAGGGAGCCTGATGTTCCATGTTCCCATTGCGTGTGTTGTACAGCTTCAGACTTTTCTTTGTTCTCCCCTCGTAGCGTGTCGAGGGCTGTCTGACCTAGGCGTCTCATCTTCCAGCCCTATCGCTTTGTTTCATTTTGGCCTTTTCTTGTTGCAAGGAAAGCCGTCAAGTCATTTCGGATTTATGGGAAAACTTTGAATAAGCCATCTCCAAATTGCCTGTCCTCAGCAGCCCTGTGCATCTCTTGTAGAGTTAGCTTGTGGCTTCCTTTAGGGAGTCTGATGTTCCATGTTCCCATTGCGTGTGTTGTACAGCTTCAGACTTTTCTTTGTTCTCCCCTCGTAGCGTGTCGAGGGCTGTCTGACCTAGGCGTCTCATCTTCCAGCCCTATCGCTTTGTTTCATTTTGGCCTTTTCTTGTTGCAAGGAAAGTTCAGCGGGGCTTTACAGTTTTGCCGCCCGCTGTGCCGTACTAACGGAAAATAGCTCAACTGTCAGAGAAAGAGATGAGGAAAGAGGCAGAGAATTGTGGCGAAAAGGCTAGGAAATCAGTGGGAAAGGTTGCTTCCCCCACGAGCAGGAAATGAGTGTGGGGGGACCGGGCTGCTTGTGGAGAATTTATTTATTTATTTATTTATTTGAGAGGCTGCAGGAGCTCTGGAGGTGCCATCAAGGTGAGGCAGAGGCCCGCCGGGGAGCCCAAAACACCGAAACCCTGGACCCCGTCCCAGCGAATTCTGCCGAGTGTCATGGCCACAGCTGGCAGGGAGGGAGCTATTGGGATGAAAAAGGAGTGGCTTTCTACATACACGGGCGAGCTGCTTCTCCAAATCTGGGCCATTGTGGCCAGGATAACATTTTCAAGTCCAACAGAGGAGAGGCTGCAGGAGCTCTGGAGGTGCAGTCAAGGTGAGGCAGAGGATGCCGGGGAGCCCAAAACACTGAAACCCTGGACCCCGTCCCAGGGAATTCTGCCGCGTGTCACGGCCACAGCTGGCAGGGAGGGAGCCATTGGGATGAAAAAGGAGTGGCTTTCTACATACACGGGCGAGCTGCTTCTCCAAATCTGGGCCATTGTGGCCAGGATAACATTTTCAAGAGGTACAAGTGGAAAAAATGTGAATGTTCAGGGAGGGAGAAGTCACTGCAATTTAACTTCAACAGGTGAGATAAAATTGCACTCTATGTATGTATATTTGTGTGGGGGTGTGTGTGTGCTGGTGACATGAGTCATGTGCAATTCTTGGAATGGGGCCCTGCTCCGGAGGGGTGGAGAGCAGGGTTGGGAAAAGGTTTTTGGCAGGCGACCAGAGAAGGCCAGAGGTCTGCAGTTGTGGGAATTGCCCTCCGACACAGGGACCTACCGACCACCCACCCACCCCGGCTTTAGGGTGGCCCTGGCTGGTGGATCCTCTGTCTACACACGGAGCCGAGGTTTCACAGCTCAACCCCACCGGATCAGACTCCGACCGGCTTGGAGATGGGAAGGGGTTGCTTTTTTTTGAATGCCAACACCCTGAATCCCACCTCTATTGTGTGTGTGTGTGTTTTTTAACATCCCTTTTGGAGAATCCAGGCCCAATTCAGAGACAGCAAGACACGAGATTGGGGCCATTCCCTCGAAAGCCTTCCGGTTGCAAAACTGGAGGAGGTCTGAGCGGTTGACCCTGAAGGGAGAAGATGGAGCAGGAGACGGAAAAGCAGCAGGGTGTATTTCCAAATAAAAAAATGGCCAGTGGCATGGAGGGTTGGGGGGGGGGGAGACAGCCATGTTACTTCCTTTTATCAAAAAGCAGGATAAAACGGTCCCTATGTCCCACTGGAAAGCGTTCGGGACTCTTCCTTTAAATGTAACCTGCAGGCTCACGGTCCCTGCTTTGGGGGGCGGGGGGTTCCAGCATCTGTAGACCCAGCATCTGGCTGTCACAGTTCCTGTGGGGAGACCCTCACCCCCCCACACACACACACACACATCCCGGTGCCTTGCAATTAGCAACCTAGCATCTCAGCAGAGAGAGCGGTGCACATAGGAAGCACTGTGATCTAGACCTCCGCCTTCTCTTCAATCAGGCTGTGGATCCACCTAGCCCCATATGGCCAGCTCTGACTGGCAGCACTAGCACACACACACACACACACCCTCCCCGAGTTTAAGTCCCAATATCTCTCCACCCCTGCTCTGTTGGAACTGCCATCCAAACCTGATCCTGCAGCTTGCCGAGCCTCCAAACCAGGCCAGGTGTGTTTGACGCTCAGGGTCGGGCGCCTGTCACATTTGGGCACGCTTCAGATGGGCTTTGCCATTCAGGGCGGGGGGGCGAGTGGGTGGGCTGAGGCTGCTGTCGGTCAAGTGGCCCCAGGGCCCAGGGGGCTCCTTCCCCCCTGCCTCCAAAGGGTGCCTGGCCAGGAAAAGGCTTCTTGGGGCTCCACCAGTTCCCCAGTCAGAGGGGAGCGTGCCAGAAGCTCCGGAAAGGGAACACTTTCCTGGCCCCCAAGCAAACCCCAGCCTGCCGTTCCTTTCCTTGGTGGGCAAGCAACCGACTCATCCTGGCCCTGTCTGCCATCCAGACGTGACTCCAGTGTTTCTCTCGCGGATCCCTTTTGGGAGCCCACTGTGCTCATCCAAGCTGATCTGGGGAGGGCGTTCGTTCCTCACTCTTGACCAGCCGGATCGCCTTCCCTGTTTGCTGCCACGTTGGGCAGGGCGGTTTGTGTACAGGGAGCGAGGGAGGTCTCTCTGTGTGTCACCCTCTTGTCTCACATCATCTGTGTGGGGTGCACTTGTTTGCTGCGGATGCCCCCCCCCGGGAGGTCTGAATTTTGTGTGCCCAGCCTTTCCCACGGCTGGCTGGCTGGCTCGCTTCTGGGGAATCTCCCTGGATCCTGGTGGCAAAGGGGGGACACCTGTCCCAGAGGCCCACAAGCAAAGCACGCCCACGGCTGGCTGGCTGGCTGGCTCCTGGGGAATCACCCTGGATCCTGGTGGCAAAGGGGGGGACGCCTGTCCCAGAGGCCCACAAGCAAAGCACGCAACGCAGCCACTCCCGCTTCTCCACCCTTCCTCTTTCCCCATCGTCCGTCCGGGGCTTCACGTCCAGAGCCCTGAGGCTGGGGCCGAGCAGCGAGGGATGCTCCACACTCAGCCGCCGCCCAGGCTTGCAAGGTTTCAAAGTCAAGTTTTACACGTTGCATGAGAGATGGAGGGAGGAGGCCATGAAGCCCCAAAGACGCCCTTCTCTGGATGTACTGCTCTTCCGGTCTCTGTTGGCCACTCAAATTAAGAACGCTCCATTTGAAGGGCTCTGTTGCTGGAACTGGGTGGCCATTCAAATGCGATTCCCTCGTGGCAAGCAACCCAGGAGAGTGGCCAGGACCTGCTGTGCCTTTCTCCCGCCACCTGGCCACATCCGAGCGAGCGGCTCTCTCTGTCTCCAGGTGGGCCTGGCTATAAGGAGATGCCACTGAGCTGTAACTGTGGTTGGCCAGAGCCCCCTGCATCTTATCACTAGATGACTTCTCTCTCTCTCTCTCTCTATCTCCTTGCCCTCCCCACCACCACAGACTTCAATGCTGGCTTGACCAATAGGTTGCCAAATGGACTTCTCCTTCAGGCCGAAGACCAAAAGGCAACAATCCACAAAAGATAGGAAATGCCACCCTGCTCTCCAGCTTCTTGTCTTACAGAGAGATTCGTCCTTAGGTGGCAGACAACAGCCCAGCCTGTGTAAGGAGAGAGAGAAAAATCCCTCAGAGAGTAAAATACAGGCAGGCAGATCTTGCGGAATGAAAGAAAGTGTGGTCCTCTTCGTTTTGGGATGCGCAGTCCTCCAGCAGCCCCACATACCCCCCCATCTGCTCTACTCCGACTCCTAATACTACGTTCCTGCTGGGCTCGGGAGAATTAAGCAGCGTTCACCTCCGTGGCCTGCTTCTTTTTGGCTCCCTTTGGACTCCAGATCCTTCCCACGGGAACCTGGAGCTTTCTTTTGGAGTCCAGCCCCCCCCCCCAAGCTGGCAGGGCTGGAAGGCCAAAGGAGGCGGACAGCCTTGGTGCTGCTCGCTTGTTCCCTTCACGTCCTTGCTTGGCTCTTCCTTGGCTCTCCAATGTCCGGCGAGCCAAAGCGCATTTCCATCCGAGACCCTGAAACATCATCCTTCAGAACTCTGGAACAGCAAGGGCCCGTCAGGAGAATGACGGCAAAAGAGGACCGTCTGGCCTTCTCTCCCCACACGACGAGCTGAGCGAGTGAGAAGCCACACACCCCCAGGGAACTGCTAAGGAGTTCATCACTTGGGACCACCATCTCCGGTGGACGGACATCTTCGTCAGGAACAAATCCATCCCACAAGAAGCACTGAAGGATCTCATAGGGGCCCTGCCCAGAGTGACTGTGGCTTCAGGAAGCTGTCTCTCTCTCTCTCTCTCTCTTCACGTGGAATCGGGAATGAAAGATGCACGGGAAAGTCTCTGATGGGAACAGTTTGTGAGGAAGATGTATATTTCCACAAGGAAAGACACAGAGCGTCCCTTCGGTACAGGAAGATACGGTGGTGGGGCCTGGATACGACTACACAACATGGGTGGAGAGAAATGGCTGTTTGTTCCCTTGGGACGGAGTGTTGACGTTGAGGCTCTAGCTGTCTTGAAGGCCAAGCCCCAGAAAGACAGAAACTAGCAGCTACAGAAGGGGGGGGAACTATGGAGTGGGGCCTTCGATGAAGGGAGGGCACCCTTTTAGAAGAGGTTAGCCTTGAGAGGGTTGGGCTTCCGGTGGAAAGACGAGAGGACGCCGGAGAAAGGTCCCGGCATCGGTTCTGCCGGCTGCCAAGCCTTCAGGAGGTCAGCCGTGTTGGTGGCCCCGTGGCTGGTGCCCACCCCGGCCCACAAAGCCTGGTTCTTGAGGGCCTGGGTGGCGTGGCCGGGACCCATGCCCTGTTGCCCCGTGCCCGGGCTGGGGCTCAGGCTGCCTCCGGGACTGTTCAGGTTGCCCGCCGTGGGCAGGGAGGCCGTGCTGTCCGGGGTGGGGCTGCAGTTGGACTCCTTGGACTCGTCGTCTTCGGAGGAAGAGTGGGGGTCCGGCTTCTTGGGGGCGGAGGAGCTGCCCCCGTTGTTACCGTTCTGCCCCTTGGCGTTGGCGGCTCGCTCTTGCTTGCGGAACTTGGCCCGGCGGTTCTGAAACCAGACCTGAATTGGGGACAAGAAGGGAGACAACAGAAAGGCCAGCGTGGAGGCAGCGTCAGGAGAGAGAAAAGTTGTTGTTGTTGTTGTTGTTGTTGTTGTTAAAGAAAAAGACTGTATTTTTCTGTGTATAAGACTATACTTTTGTCTAAAAAAATTTAGTCTAAAAATTAAGGGTCATCTTATACATCGAAGTAAGCTGAAGAGAGTACAAAAAGAAGTGGAGGGGAATGCAGGGATCAAATTGTTCCGGCAGGGCTTTGATCCCTGCTTTCCCCTCCACTTGCTAATCCTTAGCTAAAGGAAAGGAGGGATCAAAGCGCTGCAGGATCGCTTTGATCCCTGCCTTCTCCTCTGCTTGCTAAGTCCCATGGGGCTTAACAAAAGGAGGGGGGAAAGAATCAAAGCAATCCTGTGGCTGTATTAAAAAAAAGCAAAAAGCAAAGGGTGCTGCTTATATACCGCCCCACAGTGCTTCAAGTTCTCTCTGGGTGGTTTACAAATTAATTATGCAGGCTACACATTGCCTCCCCAGCAAGCTGGGTACTCATTTTACCGACCTCGGAGGGATAGAAGGCTGAGCCGCTACCTGGGAATGAACCCCAGGTCCTGAGCACAGTTTTAGCTGCAGTACAGCCGTTTAACCACTGCGCCACGAGGCTCTATAAGGGGGAAAGGGATCAAAACAATCGTGCAGTTGCGGGATTGCTCTGATCCCTTCCCCCCTCATTTTGCTAAGCCCTGTAGGGCTTAGCACAAAGGGAGAAAGCAGGGATCAAAGCGATACTGCAGCGCTTTGATCCCTTTCACCCCACACTTGCTAAGCCCCACTTAGATTTATTAATTTTGGGTTAGAAAAGTGGGGGGTGCTATCTTATTCATGTGTGCATCTTATACATGGAAAAATACGGTAACAAATAAGAAAATTAACTTAGTCCATATTCAATCAAACAATATGCAATACAAACCAAACCTTCTCCACCCTCTGCCCCCTTCACCCTTGGGATTTGGTGACCGATAATATCTTTTTACAATTTTTCATCCCATTCCTCTCCAAAAAAGACATGGATTCTTCTGCTGGCCTATAAACTTTTCCCTTTCACAAAGACATATTCCAAGTATTAATTCCATACCTCTTTGAAATCATTAGACTTTGCCATTCTTCTTCTTATTTTAATTTCACATGTTAACTTATCATTGATCGCTAAGCGCCACACTTCTTTGTACCAGTCTTCAAGATTAATTGGTTTGTCACTTTTCCAGTGTTTTGCCAGTATTGATCTTGCTGCTGTGACCATTCTAACAACTCTTTCTGTTCTTTTTTCAGATGGCCGTTCTTAATTATATTTGGGAGGGCAATGATTTGTGATATTTGAATATCATGTCCAATAATTTCTCTAATCTCTTTAAAAACCAGTGCCCATTCTTTCTTTCTTATTTCATACGTCCACCACATAGGCATATAGATCCCTTTTTCCTTTTACATCTCTAGCATTGAGATGGTATATTTTTTAATAAGAGAGAAGGAAATAAAAAAACAGGAGCAGGATAGAGAGGGAAGTGCAGATAGAGCCCCCATTCACAGAAGATCAACAAGGAGGATCAGGGGACTGGAAACCGAGCCCTGGCAGAAAAGACTAAAAGAACTGCACATGTTTAGCCTTGAAAAAAAAGATTTAAGGGAAGATAGGATAGTACTTTTCAAAGATTCGAAATGTTGTCCTACAGAGGAGGGGCAGGATCTGCTCTCAGTCCTCCCAGAGTACAGGACATGTAATCATGGGCTCAAGCTACAGGAAGCCAAATTTCGGCCAAATCTCAGGAAAAACTTCCTAACTGTTAGAGCTGTACGACAATGGAACCCATTACCTTGGGAGGTGAGGAGTGCTTCCATTCAAGAGAAAATCAGACAACCCTCTGTCAGATCTGCTTTGATTGGGATTCCTGTCTTGAGCAGTGGCTTGTTGTCAGGGGCCTCGTAGGCCCCTTCCAAATCCATGATTCTTTGATTCTATGGAAAGGCCACTCACCTGCACTCTGGCTTCTGTGAGGTCGATCTTAAGGGCCAGCTCTTCCCTGGTGTAGATGTCGGGGTAGTGCGTCTCTGCGAAGACTCTTTCCAGCTCCTTCAGCTGGGAGCTGGTGAACGTCGTGCGGATCCGGCGCTGCTTCCTTTTCTCGTTGATGGTGGACGGGTCTGAGAAGAACTTGTACGGAACTGGAGAAGTGGAGGAGGAGGAGGTAACAGGAGAGAAGAGAACACCGTTAGCTTAGAACCAGGAAGGAAATGGATGCCTGGGGTGAACGGATCACTGGGAAGCAGGACAACCCGATATTTTGGCCCACTGGCCGGTTCCTCCCCCTCCACAGCGACCCATGGGTGTAGAAGTTGCTTCTTTCTCTTTTCCAGAACTGCTGAATTGAATGAAAACAGCATTCTCTTGGTTTTCCTTCATGAAGTGGCCCGGCATAATGTCTCACTGTTCCTTCGCTTCGTCCCCACTCCATATTCGCCACCCAAATCTCTGGTATGGAGACAATAATACAGCAGTTTAACTGACAGAGATGTTGTGATGCTCACTGAAAGAATGTGGGTGTCACTGTTTGTACACTGTTAACAAAACGTTGTTAAGTAGCTGAGACTTCTGGATACGATTCTGGAAACAGAATACCACTCTTCCAAAGAATCTCCTTGAAGCTCCAGATCAATACAAGAATGAGAATGTTTTGTTAAATTGGGGCACTAAAGCCACAGAACCCATCAAAATTAACTTTTTAATTATAAAAGGGAACATGTGGAGCCCCAGATGTCCTTAGACTGCCACTCCTATTATTCCCCAGACCCTGGCTATGATGACTAGGGCGGATTCTTGGGAGTTGTAGTTTCACAACATCTGAGAAGGGGGAAGATTGCCCCACTGAACATACATATTGCCAGGAAATCAATCTGCTGTTTTTGTTTGTTTGTTTGTTTGTTTGTTTGTTTGTTTGTTTGTTTGATTGATTGATTGATTGATTGATTTGATTTGATTTGATTTGATTTGATTTGATTTATCCCCCGCCTATCTGGCCCACCGGGCCACTCTAGGCAGCTTCCAATATAAAATCAGATAATAAAAACATAGGAAAATACATAATAATCAAACAACAACAGCAGTAAAATAAAGAAGGAAAAGTAAGAGAGAAATTAAGAATTGGCTGGAGAGAAGGCCTGGATAAACAGCCATGTTTTTAGTTGGGTTTTAAAGATGCCCAGCGTGGGGGTCGCGCGAATCTCCAGAGGGAGAGTGTTCCAGAGGCGAGGAGCCACCGCCGGGAAGGCCCGGTTTCGTGTTTTCTCCTTCCAGGCCTCTCTTGGTGTCAGGCTCCTCAGCCTCACCTCCTGACTCGCGCAGGTGATCCGGGTAGACCTTGGTGGGAGGAGGCGTTCCGCCAAATATCGAGGTCCTAAACTGTTTAGGCCCTTATAAGTAAGCATTAAAACTTTGAAGTTGACACGGAAACAGATGGGCAGCCAATGCAATGCAGCCAGCTTAAGTTACTTAATATATGGTTTTACTGTTAACGGTATCACATCTACAAAACACTACAGAACAAGAATACAGAGAGAAACAGCTGAGATGAAATTTATTCACATGATGGACACACATACAAATGGATTAAATATCAGTCAAGGTTTCTTTAGTCTTTACCAAATGTACTAATTATGCTGTTAGTTAATGTGATTTCCCTCCACCACTCTCAGACCCATATTTCAGAACAAGACTCAAAGGTATAGTCTGTCAGGGGGGTTGTAGGAGCAGAGCTGAAAGGACCGTCCAGCTGTACTAAGAGAAGCCAAGGCACTGAGGCAGCAGAACCTGGATGCAGGAATAGCCAAAGTTTTGCTTTGCTGCTCTAGCCAAAGTATTTGGGCAAAATCGCAGCCTGTAAGGCTCCCACCACGTGTACCAGGGGCTGTCCCAGCTGGGAAAACTCCCTTCTGCCACAAGTCTGATTGTCCCACCACCACCTTCACTTCTGCCCTTCCAGTGCCAGTTAAAAACATCAGCTTCTACGTGCCTTATAAATAAGTCTTCTTTTTCTTCTTCTTCTTCCTTTTGTTCATTTGTCTTTGGCTGATGTTAGTCTTGTCTTCCTTCAGCAGGAATTTAAATCTATGATTTAAAGTTATTTGTGCTTTTTGCTGTGTGTGGTTTGTTATTTTGGATTAGGGGTTTTTAGATATCTGTAATTTGTGACTTCGGTTGTGTTTTCATGTTAGGCTTCCTGGACTCTCACAAGGGTGAGATATAAATCAAATAAATCATCATCATCATCCTCAGAATTACATGGCTTAATACTGACCATGTGGCTGTTGAATGGGAATAACTAAAATACAACTACAGTACAAACAATTCCAACAAGGAAAAAAAAGGGGGAAGGTGGCAAAAAAACGGCCAGTGTGGCTTCACAAAAAGCTCAGGGAGGACCTAAAACCCCCAAAAAGACACGTACAGGAAGTGGAAAGAAGGCCAGGCCACCAAGGAGGAGTACAGACAAGCAGCAAAGAAGTGCAGGGATAGCATTAGGAGGGCAAAAGCTGAGAATGAGATGAAGCTAGCTAGGGACACTAAAAGCAACAAAAAAGCCTTCTTCAGGTATGTGAGTCGCAAAAGACAAACCAAAGACCTGGTGGCACAGCTCCGCGATGGAGATGGGAAAATGGTAACAGAGGACAAAGGAAAGGCAGAGGCGCTCGATTCCTATATTAGTTTCTTCTTTTCCCATAAGAGAGACGATGGACTTCCAAACAAATGGGAAGTGCAAGTGGAGGGGACAGGATTGCAGCTGGAGATTGATAAAGGAAGACCTCACCACCTTGAACAAGTTGAAATCTCCAGGGCCGTATGAACTGCATCCGAGAGGACTAAAGGAACTGACTGAAGAACTCTCAGAACCGCTACCCATTATTTTCTTTAAATCATGGAAAACAGGGGAAGGTGCCAGAGGATTGGAGGAGGGCCAGTGTTGTCCCTGTCTTCAAAACGGGCAAAAAGGAGGAACCTGGGAACTACAGGCCAGTCAGCCTGACCTCCATCCCAGGCAAAATTCTGGAACAGATCGTAAAGCAGTCATTGTGGAAGCACCTAGAAAACAAGGCAGTCATAACTAGAAGCCAACACGTAGTTGTCGAGAACAAATTCTGCCAAACTAATTTGATCTCGCTGTTTGATGAGGTCACCTCCCGGATAGACAGAGGGAATGCTGTAGACAAGATGGGTGTGACCTGGCTCAGCAAAACTAAATAAATAAATCTTGGATTTGTCGTAGATCACAAGCTGAATATGAGCCAACAGTGTGATGTGGCTACAAAAAAGACAAATTGTATTTTAGGCTGCATTAATAGAAGTATAGCTTCCAAATTCTGTGAAGTGCTGGTCCCTCTCTGTTCAGCACTGGTTAGGCTTCACCTTGAGTCTTGTACCCAGTTCTGGACACCGCACTTCAAGAAGGATGCTAACAAACTGGAACAAGTTCAGAGGGACATCCACAAGGATGATCAGGGGGTTGGAAACCAAGCCCTGTGAGGAAAGACTGAAAAAACTAGACACGTTTAGCCTTGAGAAAAGAAGACAGAGGGGAGAAAGATTAGCACTTTTTAAATATTTGAAAGGCTTTTATACAGAGGAGGGGCAGCATCTGTTCTTGATCATCCCAGAGTGTAGGACATGCAGCAATGGGCTCAAGTTAAAGGAAGGCAGATTTCAGCTGAATGTCAGGAAAAACTTCCTAACTATTAAAGCAGTTTATTTATTTATTTATTTATTTATTTATTGGATTTATATACCGCCCCATAGCGCTACAAGCACTCTCCGGGCGGTTTACAATTTTAATTATAAAGGCTACACATTGCCCCCCCAGCAAGCTGGGTACTCATTTTACCGACCTCGGAAGGATGGAAGGCTGAGTCAACCTTGAGCCGGCTACCTGGGATTTGAACCCCAGGTCGTGAGCACAGTTTTAGCTGCACTGCAGTACAGCGTTTTAACCACTGCGCCACGAGGCTCCATCAGTTCAATGATGGAACCAGTGACCTCGAGAGTTAGTGAGCGCTCCAACCCTGGAGGCATTCAAGAAAAACTTGAATAATCCCCTGGCAGATCTGCTTTGATTGTATTCCTGCCTTGAGCAGGGGGTTGGACTTGATGGCCTTGTAGGCCCCTTCCAACTTCAATTTTCTATGATTCTATGATTTTATCTAACTGGTGGTTAAATAAAAAATAAACAGAATAGAATGGCTTCCACATATGCAAGAGTGTGCTGGCATCCTCTCCCAATTCTTAGGGGGGGGGAACACACAAACAACGGGGTGAAGTCTTGAGGCACCTCCAAATAATGGGCTTGATCCTGGATGTGTCCTGCATGATTCTTGTTGGGGGATCCTTCTTGAAGCTGC